CTTGAAAATGTCAGACTATAAACTTTAGATTTAGGTGTGAAAATAACCTATGTAAACTGCTTAGTTCTCATGATTCGTTTGCTAATAATAGTTTTATATAAGAGAATGTTACAAATACGATTTATCTCGGTTTGTGCTTTTCTTTGAACCTTACCTGGCCCTCCCATATTTTACTAATTTACAAAAGAATTTTCCGCCTAACTTTCTATTTTAGGAAGCTAAGAGTATTTGAAATAACTCAGCCCCTCATCTTATGTTTTATAAGCTCCTGCATCTTTCCTATTCGCCTTTAATGTTCTTCTTTATTGTTTCCTGGGTTTCTGAAAAAAGACTATGCTATATTGCGTAGAACTTTGAAGATTGTGAGTAGAACTAGTGGTGTACCTCTAAACATTCTAGTTAAAACAGTTGCGGACAAACTTATTAACTCATGTAAACATCTGGGAGGAGTTACTTTATCAGATGACCAGCATCCTCTTCACTCAAACCTCTTTTCATTTCGGTCATCTGGAAAGACAAGAAGCAGGTACATAAGATTTTATGCACGTACCACTTGATCTAAAACTCTACAATACCGTATTCAACTCGTCTGCTATCCAAAGAAGAAAGCAGTAGAATCAAACTGACTAATCAACTTCTGTTTTTGAAAGCAAACTAACTGATGATGGGCATGTTATTATTCATGTATGATGAACCTAATTGCTAATGTGAATGTTTACCTAAATTATATGCATATTTTCAAGAAAATTGTAGATGGAGTGAATATTCAATTTTTTATATATGTAATTCATACTTATTTCATTTTGCCATGTATACATGCATACTGTCTCTGTCCAGCTGATGCTGTATGACATACCGAAAATTCTGTGGAGTATTACCGAAATAGCTTTCAGAATAAAGCCATTATTATTATTATTAGGTGACACCCCACTTTTGATAACTACCAAACCAGTTTACTTAACGCTCCCATTCTCTTGATTTCATCTCATGCTTACCTGCATTGAAGTTTGACATCTTTTCTCGAGAATTCTCACAAATATTTCTAATGCTTCTTACAGAACTTCAGTACCTACATAGTTTTCAACTCAAATATATTTTTTATAACAGATGCACATGACACTATTGTTTTAATGAAATGAAATGGCTGCTAAAAGCAGTTTCCATACATAGAAATCTCAAACGTGGGTTTTGTATTTCATAATTAGTTTTGGTGCACTAGCCAGTTTTTGGTTTTATAATGACATCTGAATTGACATTTATGCTAAGAATCACAATGATTTTTGATACACATGGGCCTAAGAGTAGGATATAATGGAGTAAAAATTCAGCCATTTTCTGATGTGAAGGAGGAAGTGCGGCAATAAATCCAAACTGAATCATCCTACTGCTCATTACTAGCCAGATTCGAGATAAGATTTCGCGAAGTATTAGTAAGGTGTCATGGCCAGTGGAGTTAACCAAATCAAACTCGACGACGGCACTGGATGGAGTTCACTGTGTATAGTGAACTGGCAGTTGTAGATATGGACAACTGGATTTTGACGAAGTAGCTCAATAGTAACGTTCTGGGCGCGGGCCCTGGTCGTCCTGGGTTCAATCCCTGAAGAGGTTGCATTATTGGGGCGCACTGCTGAGAAGTCTCATAGTAAGACGAAACAACTGTGCATTGTTCTCGATTTTTCATTGGTTCTTCAGTTGATGTCAGTCTGTGATGAATACCAGCCTGAAGCCAATAAACAAATCCCCAATTACCTTCAAATTTAAATCCATGTTTTTCACAGAGACTGACTGAAGCATTTGGTGGCTGACATAGTACCGAGACCCAATAACTGGTTTAGTGTTCTTGCTGTTTTACCTGAGTATCGAACTAGAACCTGGGGTGCAACCGTTTAAATTTTTGCCTATTTCGTATTTCTACGCTCAATTTCAGTCACTATTAGTATAAGAAATTATGAACTTGAATAGTACACAAGTTCCATCATTACCAGTTAGTCGATTTAGAAAAACAGTTATTAGGTAATGCAAACAAATTTACATAGTGTTACTTTTGGATGAATAAGTGACATTACATGAATATGAATTCATCTCCAGAGCAATTTTAATTTAGAAAATAAATAATCGATGACGTTCAATACACAACATAATATTACAGAACATCTGAATGCGTCGATAAAGTTGATGTTAACATTAAGTGAATTGGTTTCTTGTCCAAAAAGTCAACAGGTGATGGTATCGTATTTAAAGACAGCAGTTTCAACGTTGTTAGTTTCAATAATGGAGCTTTAGAATTAATAATTAATACATAGGCTGACATGTCTGCATATATGTGTTAAGTTTTGATATTTAAATGAATATTCTATGACATTTTGATGTCTTAAAATGGTCGACCATTAGAAGACAGGTGATCGTTTAGAAATACTCTTCTCTAGTTTATATTTATTGTGAATAGAATATATGTATCGAGATTGATAGGACTACAGTCCTTTCTGGTTGAAAGACAACTTCTTTTGTTTTCAGTGAAAATCTAAAAATAAGACAAAATGTGGAGTAAATCGACATATTTAAAATAACTTATTCAATTGATAGTGACGTTCTTTAAATCTAAAGAGGTAATTCAGTGATGAGAAGCGGTGAGCTAGCTACGAAATGACACCAAAGGTAAATGACGATATATATTACTTCTGATTCGATTTCACGTGTCCTAAGTTTACTGACAGGTACTTGTGTGATTCCTGGCAATCAGAATTACTAGTTTCACAGTTACTGTTCATCATCAGTTTGTTGAATCAAGGTTTTTCATCCGATAACTTACATTTGATTCTGAAATTTATGCCAACCAAACGGTTATCGTAATTATTCAATGTCACTGAAATTATTGCATACCTTCATCAATTCTACAGATAATACACTTGAGTAATGGGAGTTACGTTGCCATACAAATGGTAGAGACTGCATGTTTACGCAGCTTCACAAGAAGCCGAAGATTTTGGTTGAGTTGTGTTCTCTGAGCTACAAATATTCCTCACCATTTCAAGACGAATATTATCTGAAAGATGTGACATCGGCATTATGCATTTTAAACAGTCTCATCACACATAAGCTTCTCCACCTATTCCCGTGAAAATTTACAGAAACGGCGAAATAAATGACAAGTAAATTTAAGATTGCATTGAGTGATGATTAAAGGAGAAATGAAAATTTGGACCCGTGGTCAGATTAGAACCAGTGACCACCGGGTTTCCGGCCAGATGCTCTGCCAACGGTGGTCACTGGTTCGAATCCAGCAGCGGTCCAAAGTTTTATTTCACTCTCAATCATCACCCAGTATAATCTCTAGTCGGCTAAATTGGGGCATTTTCGGATAGTCAAATGAAAATCTAAGACTAGTTAGTTAGAACAAAACTGGAGTTGCACCACCTTCGGTGTGAAATTCAAATTCGGTTCAACCAAGGCAGATATCTATCTAAGGGAATCAGTACCATAACTGATCGCCACTCAGACGTGATTCACATAACCACAATAGGGGAAAACACTCCCGTTGACCGTCTGAAAACACACTACACAGCCAAGGTCATCATTGTAGAGAAGGAGTTCACAAACCAAAGCAACACAATAACGATTGCATCACAACCTACTATGTTGATCAATTTACATTTATATTTGAAAAAAAATAGCTGAGGAAGAGTAATTGTGATAAGTACCTGAGGATATTTAAAGATTCATCTGAGTAGTTTCAAAATCAAATGATTTCAAGTGATCCGATAAATACAGGTGACAACAAATGATAGAAATTAGACATAGGGTGGACATTGAAACAGCCTTTAAAGTTTCGCATAAAATGAGCCAGGTGAAAGTGATTGAAACAGTAGCCATCCATAAATTTAGACCCCTACACTGTACACAAAAAGAATTTGAACTCACTTTCAGACTACTTTAGTGGTATTTATGTGAGTGAGGGTGAAGATCATTTGAGCAACTTCTAAAACCACCAATTTTCTCTCTTTATTTGAGCTGAAAAGGTAGTTTCCTTATGAAATGCAGACACTAAGTTGACTTTTTCATTAGCTTATAGAATGATAATGAAAGGATGAATAAACTTTGTCCAACAGTTAGCATTTATTAACAGACAAGATGATTCTCCTGTTGCTTTATTGTATCCGTTTTCAGTTTTTTACTCTTGATATATAATGCCTCTCATAGTCTTTCAATGCTCAACCATGGAATATGCATCCATATCAGAAACTTAAAAAAACATTGGCGAAATCTACTCAAAGTAATTTGAAATGCATGTGTAGGATGAAATTGTTGAAATATTTCCGATGAAATATTGTCGAATTTATGTCGATCAGGATAGATTGGTAGTTATAAGCTATCGGACGGATATTTAACAGTGCTGAAGCCATGGTAGTACCAGTCACCCAGATTTAACCGAGTGAGAAACTAACCAATTTGAAAAGTTATATGGCACACGTGGAACTCATCTAGGAAGATTTTTTAGCAATGCTAGAGCAACGAGTTTAACGGAATGCAATGAATTTTTTGTATTTATCGTCTTCTCTACGACTTCATACAGGTTAGAAATTCATAAAATATATAAAGAGAAGAAAAAGATCATAATTCAGTTATCAAGAAGATTGTAGTTCATAAGTGACACAGGAAAAGAATTGATACAGCCAAAGAAAGGTCATTACCGAAAGGATACAAGAGCGATTCGCTATTTGTCATTCTTACTCAAAGAGATAACTTCCCGTCCTAACTGAACAAAGAATAGCAACTCATACTGTTCATTATCTGTTACAAATCTTTTTAACTAGTGAGTGAAAAAAAACTCATCGTATTTCTTTGATTAAGTTACCTCTATTCATATCTGTAATCTTGAAGTCCTCCAAGTGTAGGATCATAATCAATTGCAGAACCCAAACGAATTGTTGGAATCCCAGGCAGAGGCAACTTTGCATCATTTCCCAAGGAATTCACTTCTTTTTGATGATCTCCATTTTTCATGTCGACAAGTGACTAGTATTTTTAAACAGAAACAATAAAAATAGTACTTAATATACATGGATATGAAAGGGTGATAAATGTGAGAGTGGAGTAGTTTCACACAACTGTAGGAAATACCTCAAAAGTTTACTGCTTTAGACAACATTCGTAATAAAGATAGGCCTTCTAAACAAAATATTTTTGAAAGTTACGATGTACTTCCACCTCATAGACGTCCCCTGGAAAGCAGATAATGGGTATTTATAGCAAGTAGTCCCTTTGATAATTTAAACAGCTTATTAAGAAGACGAAGATTATCTGAAAAATGTGATGTATTAGTACAACGTACATTTGGAACAATCCGATCACACATGAACTTTTCGAACTATTCATGTGAACATTTGTGAAAACAGTTAGCTGAGTCAATAGAAAACATAGGAATAAGAAGAGTAGAGAAAAAGAAGTCTAAATCACATCATTCTTGGGATGAAAATTAAAATCAATACTACTAAGTTGGGTTCAACGTGAGTACAACTAAATTTAAGCACTCAGACCTGACTACTTTTATTCAGTACTTTAAAATCTGTTCTCATCTGTATCCTGTAACTAGTTTTTTCTATGCATTTAGCAATAAATGAAAATGGACATTCAACACCTACACGATTTGGTTGTGTTGAAAGTAACTTTAAAGGCTATACTGCCGACTGCTGAAATAACCAGTCAGACTTTGGCATTTTGTCAGGAAAAGTACTTTTCCATAAGATAAAGAAATGTAATTGGCTGTCGCATCAGTTGCTTGGATGGCCTTTAAAATCATCCGATGTTGAGGTCTTCTGTTTTGAGGCCACTTAGGTACATGCAGTGAAGGGAGGTGGGACATGAAAAATAGTTCTTCAAATATCGTTAAATATACTTTATATACCTATTTTGAGTAAGTTGAAAGTCTAGCCTTATAAAACGGCCTACGAGTTTACATATTAGTCAGGTAAAATCCTTGGTGACTGCAGTAATATGAAAATCTGGTCAGAAGTTGACTCTTGTAGGTCGGTTGGCAGAGCGCTGGGCCAAAATCTCCAGTGGTCACTGGTTCGGATCCTTCTGTGGCCCAAACTTTCATTTCACATTCAGTCATCATCCAGTTTCAATACAAAGATAATGTTCTCACCCACAGTTACCTCAGTTTACTTTATATCTTTATAACATCACAGTACTTCGATAATGTTTCTCCTACTGTATTCATGTTTGTTTATCACCTTTTATAACTCATTTACAAATGTTACCAGATTTCTACCACTTTTAAAGTTTTGCATGTTAAAGAAGAAGGCGTTTACATTCAGTGTGCTTTACGAAATCAATATTCATTTTCCGAACGTTAACCAGATCTTGTTTGTCTTGCTATTATAAGTATCATTTTAAATTTCACAAACGTCGTACGTGAAAGCATCACTATTGAAATCCATTCTACAGTTATTTTGGGCACATTTACACTTATAGTATCACTTACGTACGAGGACTAACTGTTTATGCATATGTAAAGTGATTTCGAAGTTTACTCATGTTAACAAATATCACTTGCAACTTCTACACACCTAGTCATCTTCACAACCGATAAGCAAGGAATTTGAACATATGGATGAGGATTATATGCTGACAGCGTAATTAGAAGATGAAGATTATTTGAACAATGTGATGTAATGGAGCAATACATTTTGAACAGTCTGACCACACATTCACTTTTCAATTCATTATATATTAAACTGAAAAGTGGGAGGACAAAAATACCAATATATATAATAGGGGATTAATATGTAATATGTTTTCCTTATGAATGATTTTAGCCCACGTCTCAAAATGATACTATTCAACTCCCCTCTATATGACAGAGTGCTATGGACGTTTTCCTTAGGAATCGTGTATAGAGTTGGCTGTTATGTTAATTGCTTTATTTATCCTCCCACTCTCTGGATTAATATATAGTGACTTGACAAGTACATGTGTGGGAGTATCAGATTGCTCAAAATGTATCGCGCAAATACATGACATTTTTCAGATAATCTTCGTCTTCTATTTACGCTTATCGAAATTCATAAAACGGACTGACTGTTTTACGTTATATGTTGATTTTATTCACATAATGTCATTAATTAAATTAATTGTTTCATGAAAAGAGGAGTTACTTCTTTATTATACGGTTATTTAGCAGCAGTAAACGAGATACTTCACAATCAAACGACGTAATATCCACCTTACACGTTTTGATTACGAGATTTTACTAGAAGTGACAAACAGCATGCCATCCTTAGTCCACTAGAAACACTTGAATTAGTGTTGTATTATTTGTTTATTCCCACTTTTACATATATACTTCATTTTGATAGGCTGATGTTTTAGTATGTGGTATGATAGTCTCCACAAATGTTGCAAACTGTGGGATTGTTATTAAACGATCTTCATTTTCCCTTGATTCCTTGTCCACACTGTTTTGTAAAAGTATTCGTTTCTTGGTTCTAAAGCAGTTCTGTTCGGCTTTTTCACATAAAACTAAATCAATATAAAATTCATCGCTGGTGAATGTTATGCAGTTTGAGAAAGTTTATGGTAGAAGAACCTCTTTCGTTAAGTCGGTTTTTAAATAGATCTTATCAGATAGTCACTGACAAAATATCCAGATTATCTTTTTTATTTCACGGTGTAGATACTTATGCTTGCTTTCGCAAGACCTTCCACTTTTCGTACTTTGTTTTTATACTGTAACCATTATAGCTTCGGTTACACCAAGAATGGGTCACCCTAACCATTACGATGTCTATGTTTACCCGAAAACATTACGTGTCAACCGTCTCGGTGAGCAACTGTTGATCACGAGTTTAGCACTTTTAAATATTCACAGAGGCCTGTATTTTATTACAAAACAATTCAATACTTATAACGCTGAAAAATGACAGACATTGCAGAATCATTTCTAGAAGTCAGGGTTTGTTTTCATTACAGAACGAGATTCAGTACACTGAATGAGACGAGGTTGAAAATGAGTCTACTTGTTTACTTCTACCCATCATACATGCACAAAAAGACATTAGGAAACTTCAAGTCTACTGTCGTACACTTCTTGTCAAAGAATTTTGACGGTGTTTTACAGGACTTTTTTGCCCCTATCTAGTTGCTACGTACAATCATATCGTTTATGCTTCGCAATGAACCACCGACTACTACTACTTCTTATGTCCTACTAAGTTTTAACTAACTTAAGATAAAATGAATATCGTTAGAAGTTTTTTTGGATTTTCATTTCTTAGGCGAAAAGAATAAAGAGCTGAGGATTTTGGGAATTGAAAACTTGAGTTTCAAACTTTCCTCATATAATGCACTATCTTCATTAGAACAGAAACGTCTATAATTCTTTCGACGACTCACCTGGTAGCAGTGCGGCTTTAAAAGTCATCCTACAAAACTGTTTCTAGCGGTCTAATTTTCAAAAGTTATGCAGGAACGTTGTTAAACAATGACTTATAAATTAACTGATAGAGAAGTTTAGACAGTTTGAAAAATAGGGATTTTTGTAGGTGGCATTCAGATCAAAAGTACAAAATTAATAGATAATTAAACTTTAAATTGTGAGTAACTTTGAAGGCCATCCTAGTAACTGCTGAACTAACGAATCTGGTTTTAGTATTTCTTCTGGAAAGGCTGTTATTCATGAAATAAATCAAAGTAACTAGTTATCTCAGAGGTTATTAAGGTGGCCCTTACAATTACTCATAAATTAGGCCGGTAGACAGATAAGCATGAAATCTTAGGCAAAGGTACTACTTATAAGTCAGTAAATAACAGAATGTATCGAAATGAGTAAACTGATTGCAGTTTAAAACTGAAATGAGAACTCCATCCCTAATTTTAACAGCTACATATCTAAGAGAGAGGTCTGTTTAATAAAAATAAAATGAATTGACAAAATTTAGACACTTTGGAAAATAAATAAGCTAGTGAAATGGAAAGAACAGTTTTTGAACATGAAGAGAGCCTGCATTTTTATACTGCTATACCTTCAGTAGACCATAAATCATTCTTTTTCCTGACAGAAATCAGGTTGTGAATACTGGTCATTCGTTCATTTAATAGAAAATTCGTGATGAATAGATGCCATAAAAACTAACCCACCTTACTAACTGATCAGTAGGAGGACAAGAAATGTGGTCTGTGCATTAAATAGTATGTCTACCACATAATTAGTAGGTTTTTGTATTGGTATTCTCTTCAGCTGATGGGAAAAGTGAATCTCATCACATCTACCAATTTGTTAAACGAAATAAGTACTAAATATCTCGGTTAATGTAGTCAATATTCTGGGTTTTTCATAGATATAATTATTATTTGAAGAGGACTGAATTAATTTTCTACTTTACTAATGCACTAGTGATATAAAGTAAGCATTATCTTAGTTGTATTATGTTCTCCTCGCCTTCACTTAAGTGAACACCAAATGGTTATGAAACATCATGTTATTTCATCGCTCATTTCAATGCACGTGGATAACTATAGACATGAATTCAATTTTGACAATGAAGAAATCCCAGAAAGAGGGAACACAAAGAATATCAGAGAATTCTTAGAAGCTTGTCATCCATTTTAGTCAGTGTTCAATGGACGTATAAACACAGGCACAGTGTATCAACCAATAAGAAAGGTGATGAACATTAGAAAGGTCAGAGTTCAAGGAGAGGAATACCCAACAAGAAAATCTATTCAATCAATCACTCAAAGATCGAAGGAAACAAATGATCACAAACCAGTTTGTCAGGTGAAGCTAATGAATTACTAACCGAGAGATATTGACAGCTTGCTTCATACTAAAGTTAGTGCTGATGATGTTGACTGGAAAGAAAATGAAAGCCCCACAATTAAACAACTCAGCTCAAAAAACACAATACAATCAAGATAATACATCTGAGCTACAAATATTCGCCATCATTTCAAGTACGTATTAGTTTATTTATCTACTAGTGTCATTTCAGAAGTGACGAATGGGGAGATTTAATCATAAAAATCACGTTATTTACTGCTTATGTGCCGTAATATAAATATGATATAACACGGGTTGAAGAGAGACACTGTATGGTTATTAGTCGAGTCGAATATTTGTATTTGAAAATCAGTCAGCTTCTTATAATAGAAGAGTTTACACTTTTCTCACATACATACATACATCCATACATGTTATATTCAGCAAGCATAAAAGCACTTACTCGAGCTTCTTCTCTTTCGGTGGATTTCTCAGATACAGTGTCAACGGAGAATACATCAGACATACGATGGAAATAGACCAAAGCATCCTAATAATCAGCAAAAACATTTGTATGGTTAGTATTTAAGTTGTATTTCTTATTTTTAATGGTTTTAATATTTCATGAAATTCAAAAAGATGAAATATATGAACTTTCGTAAATCGCTTAAACAATTCTACCAAAATTCATTTTTTGCAATTGTCAGTTTAAGATTCATTGATCAGATTTCTTGTTTATCTGCACTATGCAATAACTCTCGTCTGTATCACTAAATTCAAATCAGCTGTCAAATAGTAACATTTACTACTGAAGTATTCAAAGTGCGACCACTGGGTATTGTTCAAATGGAATTTCTTAAACTAGACCTGTTAGAACGTTTTACCGATGGACCAAGATGAAATAAACGTCCTGTTTTTATTGCTATACTGGGTCAAATTGCTTCACCTTCTTTAGGAGATGATCTGCGATGTAGAAGACTAATAGCTACCTGACTACTCATCATGTTATAATCTACTTGGTGGATGGCAGTGAAATCCAAGACACGTAGTTTATCCCATTTAACACTTGTCTTCCATCACAAGTCAGGTAGTTCAACCCATTATAGACACGGCAGATTACAAGTATCAAGCAACTTGTAGTATCCGTTGCACAATAGGTTGTTTCTGCACTCCGGTAACCCAGTGGATAACGCTCTGGTGTTTGAAACGATGAGTAATACTGCCCATAACCTGAGAAACGGCTTCCCGGTATTTATATCACTGTTCTAGTTAGAGAAACTGACAGATTGGCGTGAGTGACTTCTAACTACCCATGTTGTCCAGCAGTATATTTTTAATGATAAAGTTTATTTCATCGTATCGTGTGCTTCATAAGCGTGAGCTATGGTGGCATCACTTCTACAGTGATAAACTCTTAAGTTATCTAATCGCTTATAGTATGATTATGGTAATTAGGATGTAAGCTTTACAGATAACAGGAACAGTCGACTTGTGAATGACCTTCAAAGCTAATGAATGGTACGAATGGTTGTCGGATTTTAATTCTTTTTTAGCTAGTTGGGAGTGCTTTTTATACAGGTTCTGTTCCCTGTTTAACCTTGAGCATCAATTACTCTACTTTGGCGTTTGGTAATGGCAGACTCACCATCGGCTAGACATTGAGAATTCAAAAGTCGTCAGATGTTTGACATACACAAAGTTATTGCGTTAAGTAGTAATAATACTTTCTCGAGGACATATTACAAATTTAATTTTGTCTCAGTGTATTGATACATTATGAAGAAATAATTTCACCAGTATGATAACTACTGAAGATATTATAAACTCTTTTGCAGTCATGTTTCTACACATTTCTAGGACATGAGACGTTGTACACAAACATGAGTCTGATCGTTATCACCAATTACATTATACATTTGCTGGATAACCAAAGCCATTCATTTAGCCGCTGCTTCAGTTCTTCAAATAATTTATTTTACTGTTGTGCCACACTGATGGCCATTCTATAATAGGACAAGATTCGCTGGGTGTCATTCTTGCAATTCTCCACATTTAATTTACCTTTTACTCTACCGTAGGACAATACTGATATCTGATCAGGAATTCTAATGACATATATGAGAAGAATCGATTCATAACTGCTGACCATGTTGTTGGTCTCGGTTCTTCCAACTTACTGGATCCCCCTATACTGCCTTCAACTTGCATCATTCAGTCTTCCGTTCTGAAAAATGTGATAGAATGAATTCTCAATAAGCATAGTCAAGGGCTGTGTTTGAATATTCAATACGAATAAAAATGACTGCAAATCAGCTCAGTTGGCTTGTATTTTTTGCAACCGTTATACTTATTTATAGTGATGACAACATTTACATATTGTCAGTGGAAGCAGAGACAATAATAAAACTGATCAACGCCACTGAAGCCGAACAGAAAGTTGCCACATTTCACGAACATTAGGAAGTACGTTTTGAATGTTTTTTAGGGTAGATCCTTTGGTTTCTTTGAAATGAGCTTGGCACATATGGAAATGAGTAAATTGGTCAGGTCAGTGTATTCTCGAAAGTAAGTTTTATTTAACCGCTGTGATTGTATCGTGATTTTCAGTCAAACAGAGCCAAATGGATTAAAATTAAGGCCTCCCAATAAGAGATGAAGGAACCATCTGAAGTGTTTGCTTTACTCTTAGTTCGATGAGTTAATTTTACTAGTTTTAAAACGTTGCTACAAACTTTTTTGTTGTCCTTTAGTCAAATTTTTGCTCAAATTTGTCAACCATTAAATAGTGAAGATGAAGCATATTTATTTATGTTGAAATGACTATTTCTATACAAACATCTTTTGTAATACGTTTTACTTACCAGCTGAATCCTAGGCCTTTCACTATGGCACCACTAAGTATAGGTCCTAAAATTTAACAAAGAGTATTTGCCAGTCAAAATAAATAAAAACAGTTTGTAGTTCTAGCAGAGATTTATGAGGATGTACTAGTGGTATTAACTGTTGGTCGCACTATAACTGAAATTGATTGGAAAAATTTCAATGCAGTGAAGCTAAACTACCTGATGAACTTTGCAACTTCCCCTTACTGAATGACTTGGACTTGTGCCATACATAACAAGCAATCGCCTATCTCACTCAGTAATGTTAGAAAGAGGTGAATTAAGGCAAAAACATAGGGTTGGTGGAACTAAGTTATTCTGTTTCGTAGACTAAATAAGTGTTTTTCTGACCGTTTTCAGAAGTGAGAACATTTGAACTAAGTTTACCAGGTAACAAAAAATACTTCAGCCAAACAAAGTCTTCGCAATGAATTTACATTCAAAGGCTGCACAATCCCATAAATGTTAAATTTTTCTCATTGTCTGTGTGGGTTTACTTCTGACGAGGTGTTTTGAGAGAGATTTTATCATTAGGTTAAAAACATTTTGATTAATATTTGGTCCTTGGCTGTTACGAATATCCTGGAAGAATTTAAGCATTAAGTCTGATTCAGTCATCATATAACTAAATTTTAGTTTAACATTAGTGTGTTTAAAAAATCGAAACAAGATTTTTCTGAACTTTTTACTATGTTTGTCACAGTTTAATCACAAGAATATTCGGATTTAAATGATAATTGTAATAAAAGTGTTGTTTGTAAAATACACAGAAATAAATTGAAACATATGAAAGGTATTTACGAAAAGAGTGTCATTCTTTGATTTCTTAGGGAGAACATCACAGAACTAAGTACTAGTATCCTGATAAACGAGTTTAAACTAAGTTCATTTGATATGAGAATTAGTCAAGAAATGTAAGCAGAACAAAATCTAAAAAAGTGAGACAACGTAAATCTAAAGTGAAATCGGAAATATTTTATTAAAAAAATGACATGAGGGTGATCAAAGCTCATAATTTTTAGATGCCTTATTAGTTAACCACGTTAGGGTCATGGTAACGAAAGAGCTTTACCAAATTATTTTGTATTTATGGTTCTGGCCTCAAATTATGCATAACCTGGGCTTCGGCAATAAGGATTGCATGGAGAAGTAAATATCTTAGAAGGTTTGGTTAGATTTTGTAAATAATATCGAATGGGGTATTAAATACTGAGTATCCTGTATCGATTTTTTGCGAAGTAGATGAGTTGGTTGATATATATATAATTCTTTCCTGAACCATACTGAGCGATGTTCTTGAATGTGGTGAAGAATGGGGACCAAAGAGCGACCTAAATACCTAGCTTCACAAAACAAGAGCTGACAAGAGAACACTGAACTTATCAGTCTTGGTAAATTATCATTCATAACGGGATATATTAGGGAGTGACTGTGGTAGACTGTTCTGTCGTTTACTGAATGAAACGTCTCACGAACTGATAGTTTATCGAAATATCATTCGCGGTAACTCTCTTGACTTTTAAATTCATACTTTTCTCAATGTTAACTGATGAGTATCCATTTTGAAAAAGGTGGATTTCTGGAAAATTGTTTCCTTTTTATGTAGTCTACAGAACAAATTTAATGGTTTCATAAAACAGGGCAAATAATACCACTTTTTTTGACCCAGTTGTAGAAGTTCATCAATTGTGTACTTGGTGTTGGTTTTCTGTATATAGACCTCTTCAGTGAACCGTTTTCTCTTATAACTAACAGAAAGTCTGAAAATGAAGGTTTTGAGTCAATTACTATCTCTAAAGTAAACTCTAATGATGAATGACAACTACTAAATCGTTTCAGACTTTCTTTCGTATTAAGTATATTATCATATATGATGCAGGTGTCTTCAACATATCTGTTACTTGACATTAGTTGGTTGACCATTTGCTTGTGGCCACAAAGAAATAGGCTGGAAATGGAGGCAGTGAAGATCTCATGGTTATACCATCTTCCTTTCTGTACATATCCTCGTTCAAGCTAAACTGTACAGTCAAGATAATTTTTTTCAATAAACAGTGGAAATTTTTCTATCAGTATTATTTCTGTATAGTCTGACATAAAGCATACTGTACCTGTGAGTGGTGTACCACAAATATGCTACAAAACGTTGGCTTAAGACTACTCTGAGCACCGAAAAAAGCGGAAAATATATTTACTATTTATGATTATGAAAACCTAGGGAATATCCCAGTTCAGCTATTTGTTTCCGATTGACTTGTATCCTACTTCTTACTAAATTTATGGTCTTACTATATTACTGTTGCTTTTCACTTTTTAGTTGTTGCAGACTACGATATCTTAGATCAGTGTTATTAATTCAAGTTCTTATTTGTCATCAATCTATCTATTGTCTGATTTGCAAAAATATGTCTTAAATAAGTATTCAATGTCAAGTATCAATATATCATTGAATTAAACCTCAAGTGAACTTACCGACAGCGAATCCCAGACAGAATGCAACATCTGCTATAGCGTAAACACTTCCATAGACAGCTACATGTCTTAAATCGACTAGATAACCCATAATTGGCATCATAGACGAATCAACCATACCTAAAATTTGAAGAAAGAAACAATATTATGCTTAGTGCTTAAAAAGTACTGTGGTATTATTCTTACTGCTATTTATAATCATACTAACTCCATACAAAATAATGCAGATGACAGAGGACAAACGTTGCCCACTGAGGAATGAATATACTGGGATGCGTATTTCTAATTAATGATCAAATGATTTTGATCAAGTATAGCAATAAAGTCACCAAAGGTGCCTGCTTTTAGAAACTGATACTGATACCAGGTAACGTCATTTCATAATGCACTACCGTACTGTGACCCATCTTTGCAGATGATACAAGTGTATGCTTCAAAAAGAAGAAAAAAACCCATCTAAATGTCACCTTTATTGTTCACAAATGTCGTCGTTTCATTACTGTGTTTGAGTATGTACTTGAATCAACTCTTTTGGCGAGTTCGTTTGTAACCTTGTCGCCTTTTGTTTTCTTTATTGTCGGTAAGTAAATTGAATAAAAATTATTATTTGATATGAAGCATCGTCATTCAGCGTTACTGGTAGGGACTATTATCACATTATTGCGGCTGTTTTCAGTGCTTTTATAGGTCACAGCTGATGGTGTGTTGTTTCTAAGTAAAGAAATTTTTGTGAATTTACGCAAGCCAACCTATGCAGAATAATGATATATATAGCACAAAAGCAGCACTGGATTCTAACCCTTTTTATTAGAACGCTCAAATCCAGCCGATCATATAACGTCAGAAACCCATACCATTTGGTGTATTGTCGTAATAACTCACAACACTACTCCACAGTCACTGAGCATCTATTCTTGGACATTGGTTGACTGTCGATCTATTTAGGTAATAGAATTAGGCTCTGGTGTTCACATTTAATAAAAACCAGAAAATGAACTCTGAAATCGCGAAACAAGGAAACGAAGTATAGTCCTTTGTACTACACAAAGTTGGTGGTTCACATAGCTTAGGAAGTTCGGGCAACTTATTTAAAAGTACAAACGTGTACCTATTTTACAGGGATTCAACGATATCAGTTTCTGTGATTAGGGCATGTATATTTAATATGGTTTTGTTAATGCATACGATCGTAACAATTATGGAGCACCTTGTCAGAATTTAATTAGGCATGAATTCGTGTGCGCATAGGATAAACACCACAACAAGGTCAAGAGAACTTATGTGAAGCTTATCGTTTGGTCGTGTGCAGTTTTCATATTTATGGTGCGAGATTAAGGATTCCGTCGCTGGCATCTGTATGAGCAGAACATGAGTCTCATGACAAAATTTGATTTCACTTTAGTGAATTTGTTAGATGTACCAAATAGTGGCACGAAGTCCCTGACTGTTTGTTCGGGCGATGCAAACTACTCGATGGGGATCCAAGGCACAAGAGAAACCAGCGATTGGAAACTTCAGGTGATATGACTCAAACCCGATAACAGTGACGCAGATGTATACACACATCATGCTTGTCGTAACCGTTATACTTAACCACATCATTTGCTTTTTCTCCCTTCCTCACTTTTGCTACTTCCTACTTCTTTTGACCGGTTTTTCTTCCTTACTTCATCTTTGATTTCATTACCTTGTTACTTAGTGCGCTGATATGAGATGCGGTAAGCCGGACCGTTATGCGGTAGTGTCTAGTCTTATGTTGGTCTTGAGGACGACGACTAAACAGTGAAATAATAATATTCGCTGACTGACATTTCGAATCCGGTTTGCTGCCCATACAACGTTGTTACAAGCACCAGAAATAAGTAAGAAACGTTTGCTGTTCCACTGTATGTTACAGTTACTGAAGCAATTAAAGTGGCTGCCTAAAAGTGTTACCTAAAATTTCCTTCTTTAGTTTCTAAAAATTTATTTCTCCGTGGTAACACGAATAGTGCACTTAGTATAAAGTGCTTCGTTTCATATATTCGAGAAAAGACGTGGGTGGGGTTTGCTTTCGCGTGAACGTAAGCATAGAAATTGAGAGCTATGGTAGTGTAAAATTTCACGTTACGAATTAATTAACTAATCAAATCGTATGGTTCTGGAGAAAGTTAAGAATGAGCTAAGATCTTACCAGAAACTCAAACTCAGAACCAAGGTGCTAACTGAAGAAGTGATGCTTTGAAAAACATGATAACTAGCATCTACAGTTTTCAAGTTTCCGAATGGTGGCGGGCATTTTGAATATAAAAAACTCTCATTGTCAAAATTGGAAGATATACAATGCAATACTATTTATTACTCTTTATTGATATGCTTGTAATTCTCCGCTGTTTTACTCAGTCAAAGTTTTCGATCTATATTACTATATGGTCTCTTATGTCGATGTTACGATGTTGCCGAAATATCAATTACGATAATTTACTCTGTCGTGGACAGCAGAGAAATCCATGACATCCGTTTCATTCTATTCCGGACTCGTCAGCTAAATGTAACAGGTACGCGTTTCTTGGATTCTTCTGCTAACGGCAATCAAATAAATTGTAATGACAAATATTCATTAAATATTGAGATGTATGTATCGGAGTCCATATGTTAACAGAGGCCGTTCAATTCAACCCAGTATGGCAACGGAGAATTACAGGCATATCAAACAATAGTAATAACCAATACCTGTTGAAGCGTTTGAAGCGGTGGGTACGATGTTCCAGTCTTGGTGGGAACAACATCACTCACTGGCGTGCAGGTACACCTAGTTGACGAGTTTCAGATGCTCACCCTAAATTTCTGTGCTAACCACAAACCAAGTAAATCATATAAATCCATATTGTCATTATTATCTCGTTAATGATAAGTATATTTGGAACAGCATGCAACTGCAAACATTTGGCCAATCAATGTAGGTCAAAACTTAGAAAAGTGAAAACTGCGTAGAACTAAAAAAGGAAGTGTTTCGACGATAAAGTCTAGACAAATAAACATGAATGTGAAGAGGGTAAAAATGAGGAAAAGGATGTAAACTGAATTTATCTTTGAAGTCATTTATTAAGTTTTTTCTGGCTAAGGCAGATATAAGGGCTGTATTAACATTTTCTCCACGCAGAGCCTAGAGTTGTTTACTATATTTCTTATAGCCTTAGCTAAATATAACATGTAAGTACGAATTCCACTTGAGTTCCTTTTGGAATGCAATAGATGATTTCAAACCCTATCTATCTATCATACTGTATCTACCGAATAATCACAATCAACCAAATGAGACAGAATTTAACTTTGTATTGACTTCCCCTGTCCCCTTCCTAACCATGACAGTATATGCTCCGCAACATAAATCTGAACTGCCTAGTTGTACAGTCAATATAACCTTTTCTACCGGAGAAGCTGAAATGATAAATGAACATATAAATAAAAAAAACTCGGCAGCTTGTCTTTTGTCTGAACAACGGTCATCGGTGGACAATGAAATTATAAGCAAAGATTAACAGCATAGGAAGTTCTTCTGATGGCTGTAGAAGTCTCTGGAGTAGGACTTCACCTGATGCATTTGGTTTAGACTGGAGCTTTACGAATAATAATTTCTTTTGGACAGTCATCTGTTCAGATTTCTTACTCACTCTATGTGTCTGGTGATAAAACTATGGAGGTAACGCTCTCTAATGACATACTGTGAATGCATTTTGACTCCTTTTATATCACATCATCGGAGTAGATCCTTTTAGCTCTACTTGCAAGATATTTATACTAAATGGATAAAAAGCTAGGGAATTATATATGCCGACCCGTAGATGTGGTCTTTCTGTACACCCTTCTACTGAATGATCTGTCTTCTAATAATTGATTGTCTTAATGTCTGCAGTACCATAGTGTTCCCACTATTTTTATTATAATTGAGCTAATTACTATTAATATTATTACTGTTATTATTATCTATATATCTACTGTTTGGATGCAGCGCGTACTAATCTTCATAAAGTGATCCAAGAATCCTTAAGGAATTGTAAAAAGAAGATGAATAACATAGACATGAACAGCATACATAACAATATCAACAAAAAGGAAATGAGAAGTTGAAGTCTCAATGTCACCCCAACAAGGAGGGTACCTGAGAAAATATACACAGGATTCTCAATGGGGCTGAAATTAGGGTGCCACTCAAACGCATATACTCACGGAGAAACAAACCTTGTAGGTCAAAAGATCCTATGGAATCAATCAAATGAAATCATTTAATTTATGAAATTCCAAGTAACAACTTTGATGAGAAGTACATAAGTCAAAGTAGTTGACCAAAGTCAATTTAACAGTAGCGCACGAGATCTATAATGGTAGACCCTAGTAGTGCATGATGACTTAAGAAAAGCACAGCCATAATTATGCATGCAATCACAGAATCACCCAAAAGTGGTACAGAACGGCAGTCCTAAAAGCTAACCCATCAGACTGGTCGGAATGGTTGATAACTGGAGCTCTGTTGACTGAACAAATGACGAACTAATGCAGTAGGAATGACTCAACACGCAATCTAGATATTTGCAAAAGTTTAATCCTGATAAAAGAAATCACGAAGTAGGTTTACAAAAACAGAATATGAACAACAAATTCTGTTTGAAACATTATCCAGTAAATAATACCGTTTCATGTTATGAAATATCCAGCGAGCAAATTAAAGGAATTACTGAAAAAAATAATCTAGATCCAGGTATTCTCTAAAACAGTTCTTTCAGCTTTTATTATCACAAATGTGAATAGACCATTCAGATATCTTAACAGTTTGTTTGACCTACCTATCGCAAATCCCAGTCCACCCATGGGAACGATTAAATGTTCAATTCGTGTACAAAACGGAATCTGCATGGTGAGCAAACAAAAGAATAGATAATAATATATTTAATGTAAGTAGATTGATATGTAGCCGCTAAAAGTCGGTTATAATAGAGTTCTGTGCTAAAGGAAGGCAAAATAAGCACTCTATCAGTCAGTCTTTGACGGTGGTTTGAAACAGGTTTTTACACTGACCATAAATGACGTAAAAAACGATTTATTTATTGGCTTCTTCAGCTTACATTTATAGTAATTCTTATCTGAAGCTGATCCCAACCTATGGCTTTATTTCACTGTAGAATTTATTTACACTTCCAATAACAGAAGCTCCATTCAGCAGATTATGATCTCAAACAACATACATTTCAAACATGACTTTAAAGTTTAGTGGGAAAATCGGAATCTCCTGAATATGAAGTACCTGGGCTTGCTGTGACTTTGATGAATAACCTGAATTATGATGCATAAGTGAAGTGTATAACTCGCATTCCGTTTAGTTCGCACGAATTTTACTCATAATTTCTTCTCACTAGAAGAAAAGACCAGTATTATTTATCCTCATTAAAATAATGATATGAATCTGCTGACAGTGCGGGTTCACTGTGCTGTACGTAAAATAACCAATAAGAATAAGACAAATGATTTGAAAGCCTAAAAAATTTTTAAGAACAGTGGCTGGCATTTCTTAATAGGTAGTTATTTCATGAACATAAATTGAACTTAAATAGATAAAAGATTTCTATAAAGCTCATCAACTAGGCTATCCATCAGTGCTACAAACTAAGATTTCGACAGTTGTTCATTCAAAATAGACAGAATATTGCAAATAATCATACTAACCCATGGTTCAAATTTTCTTTTTCAGGAGACATTATAGATAAGAAGGTAAGGTACTGAGGATGATTTTGATCATCTACTTTTAGGGATATTTACAATACAGTTGAAAGTCTGCGTTATTTCTTTCAATCTTGCTTGGTTGTTTGATAAAAATAATATTGCAATGAAGAAAATTGCTTGACTTCTTATAGGTCACTAAACAGCCTCAGCTTGGAACGCAATAACCAGTATAGTGGAGTTCATTATAGCCAACATTTCTGCTTCGAAACATGAGTATGATATAAATCACATACTCATTTTGGTGTATTTGACAGCCACCCTTACTGTTAACTTGTGGCAGGAAGGCTGTACTTTTGTTTCAGAACTCCATAATAACAGCTAGCTGTATGTAAGCGTCATCTGATACGCTGACGTCAGGTTATTCGGAAATTATGAAGCACTGGTATGATTCAACTAAGCATATATATATCACAAGAAACTGTCCTTTGGGTTCCGTCAGGGAAACAAATTTACAATTACAGTCTCACTCACAGCAATTAGGCATACCCCGCAAATCACCATACCGATTCCAGCACTTATGCCTCTACCGATTTTATGCGCGATGGGACCGAATACATTCGTACCAATAAAATAAGCAATGCTGCATGGTAAGAAGGCAACCCCTTGTTGCCAACCTTCAGATTTCATTGTATTCCACATCCATAAAGGTAAAGTTGGCTCAAGCATAGCTATACCCATATTACCAAATGTTATCGAACCTTGAAAGAACAAATTTCGGAAACAACATAATCAATTTGTTGAACAACAATTTTCGAAAATGAGAATACACTAAGTATCGATCAAAAACAGTATACTGAAATGTAAATAATGATATAAATCTTTTAGTTTCCGGAAAGTTTCTCCTGACTGTACAATTGTTACTTAAATATTTACTTACTTACGACGGATATCTAAACTGAGTCACTACGCTACGATGTTTATTGGGCGCGTGATCTTCATTTCAAATGGTAAACTATCTTTTTAGATACCATTTCAAAAGTAAAGTGCTGAAGAAACTGCTGCCCTTTCTAGTAAAAATAAGTTTTCTGACACCAATAAAAGGACACGTGTAGAGATTATCATGATCAAAAATACAGTTCACATAGGTAGTTACAAAAGAGGAAAGTTTCTATCCACTGACTGGTTATTTAGCATATTTACTGAAATTACACCTTAGTAGCGTTTAAATAAATGATGTCTACTCCAAGTTTTAAACTTTTTCGTAAAACATCGAAATACAAAGTAATTCACCAGTAAATTCTTGAGGGTTTATGCCTATTATTTATTGGAGGTGATTATATCGTCAAGTGCAAAATAAGTTAGGAAGAAGGAATGACAGTCTCAGAATATAACAAGCGGTTGTTAGTCTGTTTATTTGTTATACCAAACAATGATTATTATTTATCGGATGACCTTCCGGGCACCATTTATTGCCCATAAACATGTAAAAGTGATTACACAGTATCCTAAAACAGTGAAGTTTAAACGTTTAGTGATTACTTCGGCATGAATACGAGCATTAAATGCTCCCCGAAAAGTTATCCAGTAAATAGTACCTTATCACTCTATGGTATATCAAATAAATGACCTTATATGGAACTATACTACAGTGTGAAAGTTTCATTTTTGAACTAACAGTTATCATCATTACAACCAGAGATCGCTGATTAACTACCATCAGCAAAACCAGATGGTTGACAGAGAAAATTATCAACGCCTGGGAAATGGCAAAATAGTTGCCACGCTCACCATAGTAGATAAATCAACCATAGACTAGGGCTCACTGTCTAGTGAGAGACCGTTCAAATTCTAGAACAGTCAGTTCTTGTGAGTTAAAACTAAGACTTAAAAGCCTGCCTATAGAAGATGAAAAAATGATGTGTGTCAATGGGACACGTCTTTATAATAAAATAACAGGCAGTATGGCAATGGAGGCAGTCAGGAATCAAGTAAATATTGACTCAGAACTAAATTATCGAACTCAGATGTCGGTTGATAAAATCATATTGGGCGTATTGTTGTGCCTGACCTCTAGTCTTCAAGCTCCAAATTATGTAGACGAACCGAAGGAGCAGCAATGGGTTCACTGGATTTCTAATCACAACAGATATATTTGAGGATAGTTCGGAAACATGGTTTTGCGGACATTTAATCATGCACCTAAGATATGGTAGCGATATATGGGTGACATATTTGCCTTGTTGAAATCGGAACATACAGACACTTTTCTCACACATTTACACTCAGTAGTAGCCCCAATCTGATTCACCCACAGGGTAGGAGATGAGTAACGCTAAATACCTATGTTGGATTTCACGGTAAAACGAAAGAAAGACAGTGGTTTGGATACTACCGTCTGCAGGGAACCGACACATTCTAACAGATGTCCAGACTTCAGGTCATTTCATCCGGCATCAGCTAAGGGGGTTTAATCAAATGTTTAGATGACAGAAGTAAAACAACTTACTAATCATTGTAAGGACTTAAACAAGAAATCGCAACACATAAAAGAACTATTGGTCATTGATAACTATCTTCTATCGTTCATTCAGAAGTTCGTACAGATACATAATAATAATAATAGTGATAGGAATATAAATAATAGCGACAACACGAGTAGCAATAAGTTCAAAACCTCTTTTGTGTTATCATATAAAGGAGGAACATCAGAAACGTTATGTGGGATTCCCAACAACGCTGGAATCAGGTTGGCGTTTAAACCTACAAACTCACTCAGAGATAATCTTTGTCGGGCTGGCTTAGGGATCCGATAGATCCAATTAGGCAAAATAATCTAATCTACGAAATTCCATGCAACGACTGTGCGGTCAGGTATATAGGTCCAACAGGTCAAGGTCAGTTAGATTAGTGGAACATAGGAATTTAGCTGAATATAGAATTACAGCCCCAATAAGACCAATAATTTAGAAAAACTCGTCTACTGCAAATGGGATGAAGCCACTGTACTTAAGTCAAATATAATTAGGTGGAGAGAGAGAGAGTTTGGTTACTGAAGCTCCGTTTATCGAATCAACATCCAACACATGTAATATGAATGACGCTACACCTGTATCAGAGATATGAAAAAATTTACTACCAGTAAAAACAAAGAATATGAGGTGGCAGGACACTAAAAGTCAGATGTCGAAATTAGTGTGATTAGAGTGGTATGAATAGTGTACTAGTGATACTAGGTGTATATCTTTTGTTTTCCATTCAGTGTTCCCCATCACCCAATTGCACAGGAGGAAGGTAGTTATAAACCATAAGCTTGAATTTTGAAAGCAAATCATAAAGCTCAACTTTAAGACACAGTGTCTAGTTAAAATCCTATACAACCTCTAGAAAAATTATCACTCCATAAAATTAGTGAATTTCCATATTAAGTTACATATGATAATTCGTCATATATGAAAAATACATAAATGTAGTCCTGAATGATTAACTGTGCATATGTTTTCCTATAGTTTACTGATTATACTTTCTAAATTATATTCAGCTAGTCAAGGCTAAAGCTAATTTGAGCATCAGGGGTTTGGAAGTCCAGTTACAAGATGCTCGAGGAGGTATATCAGAAACCCTTGTGGGAACTAATTTCACACCATAGATTCAAACCTGTCTTCTTCAACTCTAAAGTAGCGAAAACTGGTGTTATTGTATGTTACTTTGTTTCAGGTAACGCTTAGCGATCAGGTAACATATACAAACTTTAGTAAGAAGCTACAAAAGTTTGCTCGGGATAAGCAAATGAAGGATAATTTGCCACACAATGTACAACGGATTATTCTCTGCATTGGTTTTTTGATAATTTCTATCGTTGATGGATAAATGAGGAAGTTTTACATGTGCTTTTTAGTTCAAGTCAACCCAATTTTTATCAATAACAAGAACTTAGCCATTTTGCGCTTTAGAGTATAAAATTTTTCCTAATACCAGTTTGATCATGTTTATGTGCGGATGTCACAATTTTTATTTTAAACTATCTATAAAAACAGTGGATTATTCTCAATAAAATTACCTGCAGCTATAAGTATATACGGATCTTTCAGAAGTTCTAATATGGCAGTCCCTTCTTCGTCTTCTTTACGCACTGCTGGCTTCAGTGCAATTACCTGTAAAACTGGAAGAAAAGATGCAAGTTGTGAATCAGCATTGTTACTACACGTAAAACAAGTATCAAAAATGACTTAAAAGTCAACCAATGTGAGGCTGTATGAATTACTGGGAAGTTTTAAGAGTATTTATGATGAACAGTCAATGAATCTGCATTTAAAAATCCACAAGATTGCGTGTTTGAGAATATCGTAGTCCACAAAGGTCATAAAGGTAATTTCATTGGACTCAGAAATAGACAACTCAACTCGGTAACTATGTGCGGATCTACGCACTGGTCTAAAAAATACTTCTTATATGAGGACTAAGGATATAAATGAGCTACTTAGAACTAAATACATGGGTTAGCTACTTTTCTAAAGTTAAATATTTGGATCCATGAGCCAATTCTCCACCTTAATAACATTGAAGTAATACCTTAAAGAAGTTGTTCGAAAGTCACTTCCAGACACTTTGTTTGTCCTACTAAATCACAACTCCTTGGGAAAAATAAAGAGAGGTACATGAAAGCTCGTCAACTATACCAAGAATGAATCAATAAACAATGAATGGCACTGAAGTGAGAAATCTTGCTTTTAAATGGTTTTCGTATTTTGGCTGATCACTGCTGAGTAACCAATTTCATATTGTCTAGCCCTGAATACTCACTGAATTCTATCGATCATTTTGAAATATGGCCATCAAACTAAGAGACTCACCATCATGATGCCACGAGATGTATGCTAGTTGCATGGAGACTACCACCAGGAACTCAGGATTCAGGTTTTGTGCTTGTTAGCACTAGTCAGCAGGACTTATCTACAACATGGAGGGAACTAGTATCCCCTGAGAAATTTGCACCTGCATTACCCAACATTGCAGCCGTATGCACATATTTCGATTCAACTAGGAAGGATCATTCAGCTGAAGTCACATTTAGCTGAATATATTCGTATGCAAGACCAAAACAGGATTTTCAATGGGCTACCACTTTTCTCAAGATAATAAGGATTCCAAGTTATCAAATTAGCTATACGTTTCCTCACTTATTATATATATATATGCATGCCTTAGGTGTTTCCATTTATGGATGTATCAGATGATGGAAAAATCTCGATTGTAGCATTATGAAGACCAGCGATCACATGATGGCTGACGCAATCCTCTTTCAAATGGCCTACAGAACATAAGTGGCCATCAGGTTTCAAATAAACTTCAACAACTAAGAGTAGGAACTAAGTCTAGAAAGCAGATGAATCTTTTTTTCAGTCCTTTCAATTCCAACCCGTAAGGCGTTTAAAATTCTGTTACTTCACGCAAAATCAAGGGATCGTTAAAATGACACCAGTCAGCTAAACAGAGATTATTTCACGTAGTCTCATAAACGGTTTTCAAATGTGTGGGTGAGGTGGTAGGAAAAATGCCCACAAGCGAAAGAGAAGGCAGATTTATTTGAGGTAGAGAATGGTCTGAGTCATAAAATATTTTTTTAGTAAACCGCATTATTATAAATGCATATTTTGCGAGGAACTATTGAGAAAGATAGGATGATATATGATGACGTCTTCTCCTACTCCTCTACCTCCTTTATCAGCTGATTAACTTTCTTCAGGCTGAAAAAGTTACAACTCACTTCTGACTAGTATATTCAATAAATATACTAAAACAATCGAAGTTCCAAAATTTTATAAGAATGAACATGCATAGATAAGTGGTGTTTTTGCAAATCTATCGTACATATTTTACTTGTGACTCCAAAAATACTGAATTGATACCTTGTTAACCGCACACTAGAATGGTCAAATGAACTGACTACATAAGTCAGTTAATTTTTCCACTCCTTTCCACCTTCTTGAAAGTCGCTTCATACAAGTGACCGTAATACTAAGGCGAAAATGGAATCATCTGCTGTGAGTCAGATGTTACTTACTTGCATGCAGTAGTCTATGGCTAGGCATAAAATATATTTTGTCATAGCAGATGAAATGCATGGCACAGCTGCAAAAGCGGTAAAGCTATACGTTTCGTATGCTACAACAAAGATTTTTTGAAGCTCTTTTGATAGGGATCCAGCTGTGGTGCTAACTACGTTAGAATAGAAGACAGATGTACACAGATGATATTATATAATGATTATACTAAATCAAACCAGGTGGCTGGATAGTATACATCTATATATAAGGTCTTATCGTCTCCAGTTCAGTCGTATATTGCGTAGTGGGTGAGTTGCTATAGAACTCTCAGACTACGAAGAAGTATTCGTCTAATAAATCTTCGTTTTCAAATGATTACCAAGATAGTACTCGATAGCTTTGTGAACCAGCCTTGTATCTTTTCTTATTCAGTACACCAAGTACTCATAATGATACACTGGTCAGTTAGTATGGACTTCAGTTTTTTCTGGATCAATATTAAGTAAAACTGCTGGAGCTCATACTGATCATAAATAAAAATGAACTGAAATCATGAGCACATGGTAATGTCAAGTCTTAATTAGTAATACCACTTAAAATGCTAACAAACTTTTAATATTTCAAGCTGGTATTCATCGTAGACTGACATCAGTTGCAGGAACAATGAAAACCTGGGAGCACTTGACAGCTGTTTCGTCTTAGTACGCACCCACGACCTCACCAGTGGCTCAATGGTAACGTACTGGCCTGAACGTCGTGGATGAGCACCTCTGAAGAGTCCCATACTTCCATCGTTCCTCCAACTGATGTCAGTCTACGATGAATAACAACTTAAAATATCTCTAAATCCGCACAAAGCCCTCAAGTTCAAAACTTTAAATGGTTGGATAGGTTTTCGAGTAATGATAAATAACTTCATCACTCATTACTTCTCGGTTATCTTAGCTAAACTTTTGATAAGGACTTGGTTATTTTAGATGACGTTGTGTTCTCTGAGCTAGATCTTTTGATCGGGAAGGTTTCACTGCCATTCTAGACAACATCTTCAGCACAAAGTTCAGAAAGAAGTCGATTATTTATAGTGATAAATGAGTCTCACATTAGTTTGTCAGTTATCAGTTAAAATTGACAAACGTTTAGGTTAATATTCAAGCTGTTATGCAGTTGTAGTACAACTGCTGCAGGTGGGAAATATAAAGTGTGGAAGGTAATAGTTGAAGAAGTAATAAAAAATAGCTCATTAAATTGAGTTCCTCTGCATTGAAATACAATCACTTACTTCCATCACCCAGTGCTAGTGTGGCCAGAATCAGAAATGGAGCTTCTTTATTGATAAATTGGTAAGTAATTCCTCCGAAAGGTGGACCGACTAAAATAAATCGATTGAAGATTAAACTGACTTTCTGTTATTCAGAATATCTAAACACTACTAGAAACTCCATTATTTCAGTGTGTTTACGTATGCAAAAACATTCCGAGCTTCAAATTCCAACATGTACATAGGAATAATTAAGGTGATCGGCAATTATCCTATTGATGCAGCTAAGAACCATTACAAATAATTTATAGGGACATGTTTTCCATCTGGCAAGTAAAGTTACCTTGTGTAAACGAACCAGTATCCCACCAGTCAATCCTTCTTTATTATGTAACTGAATGCAGGTTGTTTTAAAAGAGAACACTACTGGGGAGGGAGTATCATGAAATAACAAAACAATGAATATGCTCTAGTGGTAAGACAGATATGAACTCAATGTGCCTACCTACTAGATTTTTCCAATGTTAACTTTAGGATGCATTATGATGACAACCAAGAAGTCATTGGTTCATATCCTGTCACAAATCAGGGTTTGTTTCAGGTTCATTAGCCATTTTAAGCTATAAATATATATATATTACCTATGCACAACTACCTCAGTCAGTGTGATTCCATATTACCACTTTCACTTTCTAAGATAACTGTGGTTTTGCAGACTTGCATTGATACTAGATGATGATTGAAGATGAAATAGAAATGTGTACCACGGTCAGATTTAGTCCCGCGACCAACTGTATGTTGGTCTCAACACTTTTTTGGTAAATACGTTGGAATACAAGCTAACAATCTTCATGTCTGAATTACTCCCATTCCAGCAAACTAGTTTTTTTACAACTGTAACGAATTAAAAATGGATTTTAAAACAAAATACACTCTTTGAATGCTATCTGCAACAAAAATATTCTATGTTCCCGTTCGATCCACACAGGTAGTTGAACGGTCGAACTGAGTACCTGGTCTACAAGTGATAGATAAGAAATAAGCCACCACAGATATCTTTCACTTTACTGATAGGTTTTTAACTAAGTTTGTCTACCACCACAGTTCTGTTGGTTTCACTAGTACAAATTACAATACATGGACATAAACGTGTGTGTGTATATTTATGTACTTATAAGTAGTTATTCTATTCTTTTATTACGTCTTTGAATTCACTGTGAATAGAGTATCACTGATTATGAACGTTTCAGAAGACTGAAAAAACTGTGTTACACACTTGGTATCGTTCTGTCTGAACCGAAATATGATTAGACGTTGGGTGATCAGGTTACAATGATGGATCCAGAAGTTTCAGTTTGAAAAGTATACCTTGATCAATGGGTCGTGAAGACCTCCTTCGTAACCGGAATTATCATCCTGGAGAAGTTGAAGCCCAGTATTCAACAGAAATAAGAGTAATATGAGAAAGTCTGAGTTACACAATCTTATCTCTTGCGGCCGCTAACAAGCATATACTGGCATTCACAGGATACAAACATGACGGAAATGAGCATTTTTCAGATGGCATCCGTAATTGATGACTTCAGATACTCTGAATAGCTCCTGTCAACATTGTTTGGTTAATAGACTCTATAAAGCTGATACGTCAATTCAGTCTCTTACCTATCTATTTGAAAATTAAAGAATACCATTCCTTATAACTTTTTCTGATTCCCGCTTCTGTGAACTGATGTATCCGACTTTTCTGTTATCACCTGACAAACACTGGGTTTGCAGGCATTCGCAGTGGTACAAGATCACTGACGCAATGCAAATACATGCCTCAAATAATGTTTGTTATTTCTAGGTTTAATATGCCATACGTGGCTTCACTTGTCATTTATTCAATTACTTGTCGAGAAACCACTTATATCTTCCGCAACTTTTACCTGTCTTAACAAATTTCAGAAATAACAACGACAGTCATTAACAGTTGTGGGTACCTTCTAGTCACAGAGCTACACAAATCGAGTGCATATATATAGCACATACAAAAGCTATCAGCATCGATGTGCTGGTATAATTTATTGCAGCATCAGGGTAGAGAGATGATGAATAAGATCACCAGTGACAGCTGACTTCAGCTGTGTGGTAGAAATATCGAGAAAACATTTTCCCAACGAAAAGTCTTGCGTTGAGGATTAGGGAGGCTAACAGAATCATAGACCTTGAGAACAGAGATTCCAGGTCACCAACTCCCATCACTAATACGCTGACCTTGACCTCTTGAAGAGTAGAGCAGTATGCTTCAGTCAAATTTCAGTGACTTTTAAAATTATAACCATTCGTCGATAATTGTGATACAAATGGTCTTTTGAAATCCATATCAACTTGAGAAGAGGTAGTGTTAGGAGGCAGTAAAACTTGATAGATGTTGTAGACTGAGTTCCTTATTTCTCTACGTCTAATATTCTTAAGTTTCTGGTGAATTTTCTGTCTGACCGTCAGTTTTCCTTGTTAGCTTCGTGGAAGTGATCAATGAACGACATCCTTCTATTTGCTGAGTTAAACTTATTTGGATTGATATGAACTCGTTCACAGATTTTTATGAGCATGTTGAGACCAACTCAACGTTATTCAAATTCTTTAAATTATCAATATCATCAAATAATCTGCAGTCAAAACGAAGTTTAACATCGAAGTGAATAATAGTAGAAATTACGAAAGTAAACTGTTATATTTTCAGTAGCGACTGGAAAGAATTGTCAATTAAAACACTATATCATTTCCAGTATTCTACAAATTATTATTCGATTTTAATTATGTACAAAAGAATTATTTGCTGATCTTTAACTTAATAGACTGAACACAAAAACTAAGCATCGTTAGAGTGTAAAATTTATTGTACTGCGCCTGACTGAACCTCGCAGCCAGACATGTAAGTCAGATAAAAGTAAATGTGATTTACAACCTTCTGTAGCATGTTTTATCTATGCTGTTAATAAATTCTACGTCATATATAAAGATACAAAGGAATTTGAAAGTTAAACATTTTTTAATAAAAATAGAGCCTCACCTAATACACCCATAGCTAATCCACTCAGTGCAATAGCAAAGGCGTGACTTCTTTCTTTATCGTCACTGTAACATGTGGCTAACATTCCCATTCCTAAAAATAACAGAAAACAATCTTTAAAAATCTTATTATCACAGATAATTGAGCTATAGATTGGCAGCGAAATATATTGATAATGCTTGTTACCTACGGTTTACAAAGATATGATGAGTTGATATAGTTTAAATTTGATTATTTTATAGCAAATCAAGAAACGCAATCACATGGTAGAGAATATCTATGCCTCGATCATTATTTGACGCAACGATTTAAAAAGCAGTGGAAGTTGATTGTTGGCAAATCTGGGTATATCTCAAAGTAAATGTCAGTAGTGCTCTGGCATTCTTGTCTTATCCTCATTTAAATTGTTATCCTTCCTATACTGTTTTTATGTCCTAAAGCTTCATATGACTAATGGTATCACTATCTTCATTTCCTTTTCCTTTTATTTGCTAGCTTCCATCAGGATGTAGTATTACGAAGTTTGGCAGTCAAACTGTGGGTGCAAAACTGCTGATTTTACAAGTAACGTCTTAATGACCAGTTAATTTCTGGTGAATCGCTGAACAAGCTGGCATATCGTTTTAAATATGGATAATTACAGAGTCATTTCTCAGGAAAGGGTGGTAAGAAGTGAATGTAAGTTATTTGAAATGAAGTTTCCTTTTTATTATTGCCAGCAGAATACCAACCAGTTGATTTGATGACTTGACTTAATAAATATAGTTGTCGTTACAAAAAGATACCACAGTATTATCGTTTGCAGCTCGAGTTGTCAGTACCATGACGGTTGTATCTATTAAAATTCATTAGGATTTCTAGTAGTACAAACTTTTGATTTCGTCTGGGATTATTATCCATTCCGTGATGACTAATGGGTGGATCTTAAAAATGTGTTACTGGGAAGCACTTATTTCTACAGTGATTTGTAGGGCTAATTGAGAAACTACTAAGGTTACTAGTTATCCTTTTGGACTAAGGTACAATACAGTTTGCTGTATTGTATGCGCTGGCTATTTTATTGATCAGTAACTAAGCAAACAACGGAAACAATTGTCAGTGCGATTCGTCTTTTATGGAACAGTAATTCAGACTATTTCCTGCTGACTAGTACTATTATCATAGGTATTTCTGCTTATAAACTTTTATTCTCGTGGAACCTTATGTTTGATTGCATAATAACTATTGATCATTTCAATCATTACTAGTTTTCTCATAACTCTGGCAACTAATCAACAGATAGAAAACTTCTTAACTATGTGCTTAAAATCCCAAAGTATCCTATATATCAGAAAAATCTGTTCTAGAGAACACTTAACCTTAAGAAAATACAGGTTTTTTCGATGCTAAAGATATCTGTGTAATTAGTTTGCTGTTCGCTACTCCAATTTATTTGTTTCAGTGAATAAAATAAATATATACTCTTATCATCACCCGTCCATTTAGTATCTTCTCAAAATCAAAGTAAAACAGTTTTGTCTGAACAAAGTCTTTTCTCTATAAGTCATTAAGTATATTGATAATTTGGCATTAAATTGATAGATGTATAACAGGAGTTTCTATACATGATATACGAAACGTTTTGTAGATAGAGGCTATAAGAATGGACAGTTCTTTGCAATTTATCCTTCCTGCTCTTTTGAAAAAGAAATTCTGTAAATGATGTTCCTAGAATTTGGTTTATATGATAATTTGCTACGCTCATGCGACAACTTACTAATCTTCAGGCGTGCAGATACAAACACCTCCCTAGACAAATATTGTGGATGCAGATATTCTGTTGTATCATTTAATCTTATAGTCTCTACAGTATTCTTTAGTCTTCGAATTCGAACAGCTGCATTAAATCATTTCATTTCAAAGGGCGATTCCGTAATCCAAATGCAACAAATTAAACTCACTAAAATAATTAAAACAGCTACAACTATCATTTACCGATCTTTCGGCTTTTTAACCTACCTGATACACTGGAGCAAGCAGACCCAACACCTTGTAAAGCTCGTGCGACGAAAAGTACTGCATAACTTTCACCAAATGCAAACACTGAAGAAATAAATTGCAAGACAGAAAAGATATCTGCTGTTTCACCACAGTAAACATAAGTCAGGTAAAAGAAAATCACATGTAAATAATACACGTTTACACAAAATATAACAAAGAAAGAAAGAATAAACCGGTACTCATAAAAAGATATCCCAAAGAATGAAAATTTGTTTCTGGACAGTAACCATTGTCACACTGTCTAGTTCTCTAAACTGATGAAAGTCTATCAGTTAAGTCTGGTATGTAAGAAGAAGGTAAACAATTCGACATTAAGATGTGCTAAGCTTATTTTTGAACTGTTTAATACAACAAAGACGTAATTTTTTTGTCCGATTTTTCATTTGTTTACATTGGTCAATAAAGCATATATTAATCCGCAATAAGTGTCATTCGTAGGCTTACAGCAAGTTTCTTTTCCTGTTAAAGTCAGTTTCACAGAAATTGTCTAGTATGCAGTAACTAATTGTTTTACTCAGCAAAACTCTATTTGGATCAGATAGTAACTCAAACATTTTCAGATGCAACGTTTCCAACTGCATTTTTGAACGCTAGGGATTAAATTTTCTGAAGAACCAAGAATTTCTGAGAGGTCAAATGAACCGACCAAGGTCAGTCAGAATAATGCAACACAAAAATTTAGCGAGACATAAAACGATAGACCGCACTAAAATATGTAGTTTAAAGAAAAACTAGGGTATCTCTCTGCATGCACCGACTCATAATCACACTACTGGATGAGATTGGGTGACAGTTCTAAAACCTAATGTACTTAGGTGGAGAAATCATAAACAGGACTCTTGTTTATTAAATCACCAGCTAACACATTTAACAGGAAGAATCCATCATATAATGCAGATACTTTGGAACGTTTACTAACATTGAAATGAAAGAATGACGATGACAATCTATTGGACAATATAAGTAAATTTCGCAATTCATATGGTAACTTTGATATGAATATGATGAAGTTGTGCTCGAAATGTCATCCAACAAATAATACTGTATCATCGCGTGCTATGTCAAAAAAACAATTCCAGATGAAATTATACTCTACCACAGTGCCCAGGTTATTCTCATAAATTGAGGGTAATCCAGTCATTAATTGAGTTTTATACTCTTAAGATCAAATCCGTTTTACAAAAATTTACTTATTTGAAATAGCTTTCTGTCACTAGTGGGTTTTGATTAACACATTAACAGTTACTGTGAACACATGGTTACTTATTTAGTGTACTTTACAGTAATTAGTAAGACAGAACCAACAGAACATCTCAGTCTGTAATGACCCCACACAGATTAAACATGTGACCAATCGAAACTGTAGTCACCTGACTTGCTGAACAAACGCTTGAGCTTAAACAACACAATATTACTTGTAAGTGACTCTTTGGAAGAGCTTGACTTTCCCTTAAGTTGGTTATGCACTAAAATGATGTAATAATGAACAGCAAGTTGAACTCCAGAACCTCTTGTTAATCTCCTTTCAACTGTCTACACGAACATGAAAATGTCTGCAAGATGTTCATATGGTAAACTTGGTGACTGAGTTACAATCTTCTACAAGGAATAAACTATGAGATATTTATGTTTGTATGATTGACAACATTATATTACATTTGTATGCCAACTTGAAACGTGGAAGAATGCTTTCACCACTGCATAGATTGCTGTTCATACTACAGTTAATTATTGGTTTACACCATAAAAGCCCATCTGCCAACAGAGGTAGAGAAAATAGGCTCTGTTAAAAACAGGAGACCATAAGTATCATTACAACAACTAATACACGTTGCACCAGAGGTGGTTATCGTGCCCCTAGTGACTTGTCTGATAAAGCTGTGGTGTTTGAATTATTGGGTTCGAGCCTTAGTGGGAACAACAACACTCAAGTACAGGTACCTCCAGCTAACGAGTCTTGAATAGGATGAAACACGTGACCTGGATTCCTCTGCCAATCACTAAGACAAATATGACATCAGCTTGCACCAGTTTACAGACAAATGTTTTGCTGATATGCTTATTGAAGTTACTTAAATGTTAGAGACCTTAATGAGTATTTAATGCTAGGAGTCAGTCAGCAAGATATCCTGTAACTGGATCTCTCCCCTGTTGCAGTCAGCAACTAGGTGAATCAGTAACCATGAGGAAACTGGTGTTTTTGAAGATACGAAACTTCATTATAAAGTAAATTTTGATCAAGTCGCCTAGTCAGGTGACTAAACATTCACGAAGAAAACCAAACATTTATCATCCTTATCCTAAGCTACCACCTGATTCTACTATTTTAGTGTTTTTGCATGTTTAGTCATTGTTACCTCTGAAAGCTAAGAGGAAGATTTCAGTTTCAATCACACTACCCAAATGTATGAATTATCTGAATCCTGAGCCATAGATTTCCCCACAAATTGGTCACCAACGGGTAAGGTATGTAACTATTTATTCGTTAATGCTCAGTATTGACTTAAGTCAATCGATAAATTTAGCAGTTTGCCAATAAACTGGTTAACGCTACAGGACATCCTTTAGACCGACTACTAACAACGAGCATCGAGCAGCTGAAACTGACGATAATAGTTTGATTCTTGGTTTAAAATGTTTTGCATAGACACAATCAACAAGTCACCGGCCTAAACACTGAAGGGAAACATTTTTGATAACCGAACTCATTTTTCCAAATTAATGTTGTGTCTAACTTATATACATACCAGTGAGATGCACAAATATCATGTTGTATCATTTTAATTATCATGATGCAAATAATGGGTAGTTCCAGCAGAGTATCCGATTGTTACAATATTATGACTCATTCATCCAGATAAATTACAACGAGATTAAGGATTTGTGTTGTCAGTTGATTTCATGCGATATAAAAGGCTAACGAAATTTCAAACAGATAACACCTACCAATGGTGGATGTGAACATGATCACAAATCCGGTGAACATTGGAATACTGTAACCGATTCTAAAATAAGAATGAGACGAAAAATACCTTACTTGTATCGTACAGTACAAGTTGTTGGAGTTAAGCGATGTAATAAGCCTATGAAATCTAACCACACAACTATAAGATGCAAAAACGTGTTTAGAAGTATTTCAAAGAAAAACCAGTAACTTGTGAAGAAGATGAAATAGAATGCAGTAGACACAAAAAATGTGTTAACATCAGCTACGTTCTTGATGTTAAATGGACGAATGTGATGGATTATGCTTGATATGACAGATCGCATTTTCTGGTCGAATATGGGACACAAATAACCCACCAGTATTTGAATCAATCAATATTGCCAGTATTTCCAGCTTGCTATTAATGCTGGACAGTGTCTGTTAGTGGAATTCATGACACCAGTTTCGTCCTATGTGGGACTCGTCACCTGGATAGGCCTGAACCCTAGTGAGTGATGCTATCCCCGGTAGGACTCAGATCCAAGACTAATTACTTTCAGTGGTAAGGAGTTTTCTAACAGGTTTTTTAACCTCTGACAGCCGCGTTTTTTGCGATAGGTATAGTTTTAGTGCTAAAGCTTATAACTTTCCGTCGTTTACTGGACTGCACTAATCCAGCATTATTGATATATCGGCTTCAGAGCGGATGCCTTGATACTGCCAGTATTCACTGTGCGATATTGTTATTCAGGCATATATATATATATATATATATATATATATATATATATATATATATATATATAATTTTCCAGTGTACTCTGTTTTCCTCTCCAATTTCTGTTAGCCGTTCATTCAGTCAACGATATCAACTCATCAGTAAATATCTGTCCGGTTTCATGTTTTACCTTAGTTTCTTCCTTTACATCAGATGGGCTCATCCATAAGCTCTCAGTTTTCAAGTTTGGTTTTCTCTTTCGTACTATATTTACCATAAGCAGCTTAGGCTAGTTGCACTTCATTCCTTATTGTCAACTTTCACTTAAGAAACATATTTTCTAAATCTTAATGAATTGGAAAAGTGAATTCCTGACGTTCCATAACCTCATGAAAGTTGCTTTTTCACAGAATTGAACCTACACAATTTATCTCAGTTTTCAGTTGTGAGTGGAACATACCAAGACTACACTATCTACTCATGTGCACAAAAGAAAAGATGGAGTTAACTGTCACAGTCATTGGTTATTAATCTGCAAAGTTTTGTTTCTCTTTCGTGAACTATCAGTCGAACAATCAATTATGAATATGGAATGCTTGTCAAATGAACTTAATGCATAAATGGGATACTTGTAAGGAATATCATATAACCTTAATGTGTCACGTCAGTTTAACATTGAATGAACCTTTTATTCTCTTCAATAATCTGATGAAAATATGTTTCTGTTTTATTCACCCTCTCTAAGTTCTATGTGGAACTGAATATTTTCCGGCTGGAATCAATCATACACACGCAGGTGAAACTTACAGATTTTAAATAAAATATTAGTGACATAATTCCAGAGACGAAGATGTGTCGATTATTCGCCTTGTGGTAAGTGCTAAATACCTTTGTTTTTATTTTCGCCTTTCTCTGTACAGTCTTTTCTGATTTCTTCGATCTCATTTTTTTAATAGTCATTAATTATTACTGGTATCATTATTTTTAATTTTCTCACCTCTTCGTGTAAAATGTTTAACAATTTGTTTCAGTTCGTTTTCTACCTGCTTGAACTCCAGCAAATTATACATCAAAGGCTAACAATTGAAGTCCTCTTAAATAAAATATTTCTGGAGATTCTCTGAGAGAAACAACGTCTAACTGACAAAACATTTCGGGGTAGTTTTTATTACAGGTTGGCATCAACTGATTCTCTCTCATGATGAAATCAGCCAATCTCAACAAAACTTCAAACTTTATTAATGCCCTGTGTTCACCAGTTACATTTCTCGAGACGGACTTCCAAAGATTCTAATGACCTTTGAGGTTATCCTAGTCGGGCTTAAAGAAACGTATTCGCCTATTCCACTGAATCATGGTAGGATTACTTCGCAAAATTATAGAAATAGGAAAATATGGAGATTTCAGTCTCAACCAAGTGGCTGAATGGCATCTTGTTCACTGTGAAACCTTAAGATCTGGGTTCGATCCCTAGTGGAGTCGTAGGTGCTCATTACTGATAAGTCGAATACTAGGACGAAACAGGCATCCAGCGCTTCCAGCTATTTAATGGTTCTTGAACTGATGTCAGTCTGTGCTGAATACAACCTTTAAATCAATCAATCTCCACAAAGCTTCAAACTAAGAGCAAGTGTTTACATGGTAAAAGTTAGCTTAATGCATAAGTTCACATTACTCCTTTAATACACACAGACGTAAGGAAGGTCAAGTCTTTATTTGTATTCAAATCATATCAATTTTATGCTATTGGAAGCGAGAATTTCAAGGTATGTTTTCTTACTTGTTTGTCAATGGGCCAATTAAAGGATTTACGATTAGTTGAATAATTGCTTTGGAAGCAAACATTAAACCAACTTGGATGTGTTCATTTCCCAATTCTTCATCAGTAATTTTCTCAATCTCTTCGGTTACATTTGCCATACAATGATTAAATCTGGTATCAGCAAGTAGATATCGAATTCTGCCATCATCTAACAAGCTTCGTAGTTGGTCTTTAATTTCTATTGGTTTATTATGTGCAGCGTGCCCTCTGGATGCCCAAATAATTGATTTCTGTAGTCTTATTTTATCTGAAACATTTAACAGTTTTACACAGTATTCATCTTGTAACAATGTCTCTTTTATAGAAGTTGATAAATTTCTTGTCCGATGAGCCATTAGGAAGTCAGGGATGATAGGAACTGTAGGAAAAGTCGGAAATAAAATGAATTACGCCGGTTAGTCTACTGTTAAATATTAAAGTTCTTTTATCTTTAAATGGAAATGTACAACATTATGATGATATGATTGCTGCTATACCACATTTGTTATGTGATTCTGTTTATCAACAAATACATACCTTTTTACCGATATTCACACTGCACAACAAATTTCTCATCTTCATAGTTTCAGACGATTGTAGTAAACCATTCAGTTTAAACTTAGATAGTCCTCTAATTCCCAAAAGCCCATGAGAACAAGGCAACCGATTAGAAGTAAAGCGTTTTCAGTTCACATATTTAAACAAAATGAACGATGTATTTATGAAAGTGATGACTGATAGCGTTCATTATAAACCGGGTATAGGTAAAATAGGATTTAACACAGAGGTAAGGTGAACATTAGCCGCATGAGTGAGTGAATTCCAGCTTAAGGTACTAAAGCAAGAGCGCTGGAATAACGGAATTATGCACAAACAAAAACTGTTTTACGTAATATCGATCGACAGAGTCGATTTTACCTAAACAATAAAGATGTGAAGCGATCTTCACTGGATTACAGCTAAAAATTACTGCATCCAATGTCAAACCAGCCGAACTAAACCGATGTCAATAAAAAAGCTTCATGATACCAAAAGCAACATTAGTAGCCAGTGCCTCCCAGGAATTAGTACACACCATATATCACAGTTCATTTAAGATACATGTTGGTCTGCTGTGTCTAACTTCTGCTAACATGGATTCGCTTGATTAGCCCCGTCTATTTTCACTTTGAATTGCCGTAGGAATTGCAAAGACAAACTGGGCATTTCCCCTGGCTCTACTTATCGTTATCAAAAAATAAATCATCAGTCAATGAAGACATTATTTTTAAACCAGTGAAAACTTATATCTACAAAACGTAAATATTTGCAATTCTTCAGCTAGTAATAGTTAATATCGAGGAAATTAACTATATTTTTAATAACAAAACTAAAACTATCAGGTATCTTTTCGCCAACAATTTAAAACCTGATGATCTTCATCCTGCTGTGGTCAATATTTGCATGTAACGCAACCTATCAACCAGGTTAGTAATTACCAGCCTGTTAACTAGACTATTCTGGACGATCTTTTTAATCACATCGATCTCTACTTGGTTCTATGACTTGGTCATATTTCATTTTTCAAAATACTTCCGTATAGTAGGTGTTCTTCTCAGTTTGTGTGTGGTAATCCTTATAAGGATGGGGTTAACAGGGTGATAGCCTATTCAACCAAAATATCTGGAGCGAGCACAGTGAAAAACTGAGTTATGTCTCTGATACATATGGTACACAGACACCAGGTGAACCATTGGTGACGATAACCAATTCTGAAGTGAAACTACACTTGTAATTAGCAAGAAATTTTTTGCCATCTCAAAATGTATTAATTGTCTTTATCATTCCATACTTTATCAACTCAATATTCACAATTCCAGGACGCTATTTTTATTGTCAAAATATTTACTGATGGGCCACATGATTCTTATCCATTTTTGGTTGATTTATCATAAAAACCCCAGAAGTTTTTCATTCTCCTTTGCTAATCACATTTATCAAGGATAAATAGTGTAATAATCAACGGATAAAAAGAAATATATTAATCTTTGAACCTACCGACTGTGGTCAACAACATATTGTCCAGAAATAATGCAACAAATACAATGAATAATATCATTCTTCGATCACCAAAACATCCTCTCAATCGACTATTGCCACCGGTTAACTTATCCATACCACGATTTTTCCTATCCTCCTCTGGATCATTCATATCGGCATAAGCCATTCTTTCGATGCGTTCTAAAAAGTCATGAAGTGTACAGTAGTTTAGATGTGTTAGACATACAAACACATTTGAGTAATGTTAAAGTTGGTTGAAATAAATCAGGAGAAATGATACAGATGGTTAAGACTGTAGGAGAATAGGAAAGCGCCTAACTTGGGAAACTATGCTGCCGAAAGTCATCGCTAGGGTATAATTCCATATTAAATTGGTTTATTTAATACAATATACAGTGACACAGTATTATAAACTAGATGATGTTTTGGGGAACAACTCATTCCTTATAATCATATCCAAGTAATTACACAACTTTAAAACTACTTTTCTACAATTCAGTAGCTCCCAATGATTTTTCTTCTGGTGATAGCAGCGTTACATGTATTAGGTACAGATTCGATGGTATGCTGGGGCACGAAAATTGACTGAAGTGTAGGGTGATAGACCCTGTTACTATAGGTAGTCAAGAAAAGGTCTCTACTATCGTTCTGGTTGCTTTGTCTTGTAATTACATTGCTGAGGGTGATTAGATGAAAGTTCTAAAATGCAATATAGCTTAGTGTAGAAAGTGATTATTCATTGAATCTTCTTTGATCAAGTCAGCCATCAACGCATGTAATACTGATGATTTATCATACATTACAGATATTGATAAAACTGTGCCACCAATAAAAATAATATTATGAAGAACAGTTGTTCTACATGAGTGAAGTTGTGCAATTAATTTGATGTGATAAATAAATTTTCCTCGAAACGTCATCTGGCAGATAATACTGTATCACTGAATATTATGTGAAGTAAAACTGTGTAATATGAAACACCGTAATCTGATGGAATATTTCTCATATTTCAGAGAACTTTTGCCTAGGGAGTTATTTATCAATATTGTTTTGTACATATTTCTTTAGGATTTCCTTTAACCCAGTAGTTGATTATTTGACAGACAAACAAAAGTCACTTGTCTGTAGAATGTCATACTCTTTTCCTATCCCCAATGACATAGTCAACTACATGTCTATTTTGTGTTGCACTGCGAAATAAATTGCCAGTATCCTGTCTTGTGCTAATCCCAACCGATGACTTCATCGTGTGATTTCAACTCTAAGAGTAGATGGTATCCACGAGGTGAAATGCTTCAAAAGTTATGCATTATAAAATCAAGCTACACAACCTACATATCATTATAACACGGCTCACTGATTATCAATAATATTTTTATTATTTATTGTTTGAGTTCCTAGTGGAACATAGGGCTTCAGCAGCACATCTCCATTTCACTCTGTCCTCTGAAGTCTTTTGAACCTGGCTCAACAACTGCCCAGAAGCTTTCATATCTTCCTCACACTGTCTCCCCCATGTCACCCTCGCCTCGGATGCCCAACTTGTCGTTTCCCATTTGGATTCCACTCGAGGGCCTGGTCTGGCGCGTGATGTCCCCGAATGGTCTTCTCATTGTATGGCATATCTAATCCATCTCCACTTTCTTCTGCATATTTTTTGAGCGGTGCTTTCTTGGTTAGTTTGTCGCCAGAGTAAGTTCCTTGTTGCTTATTCTTTCTGGCCATCTTCGGTATCGTGCCGGTGTAGGCAGTTGTTGATGAATGTCTACATTTTGTTGAAAATGCCCTTCGTAACACCCCAAGTTTCTGAACGTTATAGCAGCACTGACTTGACGGAATTAGTGTTGAAAATCTGGATTTTGTTCACGCTTTATGCTGAGTGCAGTAGATCTCCACACTGATTTCAGATTAGTGAAGATCTATCTTGCTTTGCCAATCTTGGCTTTAACGTCCTCATCTGAGCTTGTGCCGCCTGTAGTTGAAACGATGCTGCCTAGGCAGGTAGGTGAAAGACGCTACTTCCTTTAGGTTTCTCTGTTAATTGTGATTGATGCTTATTGCTAATGCTGTTGTTGTTGGTTGGGTATCTTCATCACCTCTGTTTTCTTTACATTCAATTGAAGTCCCAGCTTCTCTGCGTCGCCTCTTCTGTCAACTTGTTGGTTTCTACGTGTAGATCCTCGAGTTTGTGCGACAAGATATTAAACATAAATCATCATCGGTGAAATCCAAATCTTCTACGGTCTTTTCATCGATCCAGCAGGCGTATGCCCCTCGTTTGGCTCCTCATGGTTTGTTGCATGATCCCGTCCAGTCCAGTCGACCACAGTCAGGAAGATCATCGGTGATGACACTAGGTAGCAACCTTCTTTTACTCCTATCTTCACTTCAAAGGTGTCATTGAAGTTTTAAATTGTGAATTACTTGGCATGTAGCATCATATAGCATATAGCTGCTGTACAATGAGGTTGATAAAGGTTTATGGTACTACGAAGTGTTGAGGCAGCTGCCTGTCAAATTACTTCTCGGCCTTTTCAAATTCAATGAAGTTGAGGTAGACAGTTGACTGGCATTCTCTGCTCTGTTGCAATTTGATCTGCACATGATTTGTTCTTTCTGAAGCCAGTCAGACTGTTTCGATTGTAACCCAGTAGAATAACCTGAAATTTTTAGCCTCTCCAGGATGATGCGACATGATATTTTGCTTGGGATGAGCTTGGACAGCAGCATGATTACTCGCCAGTTCTTGCGAAGATTAAAGTCACCCTTCGTTGGAAGTTTGACACAGTAATCTTTCTTCCAATCTGCAGGTATCTTTCCTTCCTTCCAGACCTTCTGCAGTATTGGTGTGAGCATGTCCGCTGTTGTCTCTGCGTCTGTTTTCAGTGCTTCTGGTGGAATTCTATCTGGTCCTACTGCTTTCCGTGATTTCAGCAACTTTATGGCATTCAGGACTTCTGCTTTTGTCAGAGGGCTTGTGTTCTCTGGTAATTCTTCCGTTGCTGGTGGTATTTCTGATCCAGTTGCACGTGGTGGTCAATTCAAGAGTTTTTTTGAAACGGGTCACCCCATAGTTTCCTTTGTTTCTCCTCTTTGGTGACTAGCTTTCCTTCACTATCTTTCAGTGGTTTCGTCTGCGTTGATCTCTTCCCAGATAGTAACCTGGTTATTTGATATAATGTTGTCAGGGCTCAGTCTTTCCTACCAGCAGCCTGTTCTGATTCATTTGCCAATGTATCGTAGAAGTATCTTCTATCTTTGCGTGCAATCTTATTCACTTTTTTGTCCAGTGTTGAGTTTTATAGGTTGTGTTCAGTTCCTCTTTTCGTTGTTCATCCATACACCATACTGTTTCATCTTCACCATCAGGAGCTTCCTCTCCTCCATCAGCTTCCATGTGTCCGTCGAAATCCATTCATTGTCCTATTTTTTCTTTCTCCCTAACACGGTTATGCAGGTTTCTTTCCACATAGCTTTCAAAGAGTCCCAGTATTCTTCCACACAGTTTTCTTCAGGGATGTTGCTCAATATCTCCTATTTTGTCCTGATAGCTGACTGACGTGAAGATATCCTTTGAAGTTTCGTCCTTCAGTTTCTGTTCTATGCATTGAACTTGAACTGTGGTCTACCACCAACTTCTTGGAAGGCTTTCAACTTGATTTTAAAGCTAGGTTCCTTGCACTAGATAGTGAGTGGTTTGAACCACGTACATCTGCTCCTCTTCTTGATCTTGTGTCAAGTAGGCTGCGTCTCACTTTCTTCAGATTGAGATGAAATCGATCTTATTTTTAGTGTAGTTGTCGTCTGGGTGATAATATCGGAGAATATTATTGACTCTGCAGTTGATAGTTTGGAGAGTGTAATTCAATTCCATCGGCAGATTCCTAGCACTTCTATGTCATACCTTCTCATCTCTTTGGCAATCTGGGCGGGCTTGCTAGGTTCAAACATGATGCGGACATTCAATGTCCCCATGTTTACTTTTGCTTTCATCGAGAGAATACACATCGGTCAATTGGCTTCCCGAAGGCTTTCATCAACCGGCATCATTTCGTGTCTCCGATCCTAGCGAGGAAGAAGCTTGTTTTTATTTTTTATATTTTCTTTGTGCTTTGAAGTTTCTTTAGCGATTGAATTGGTTTTCCGGTTTAAGGTTACTAGCTCTATGCCTAGCCTTTCCTCTTTATCCGGGCTTAGGACCGGCTAGTAACTAGTGAACTAGTTAACCAGTCAACCTTCGGTTCGTTGATTAATAATCTCTACTTGCTTCAATCTCAAAAGGTTAGAATTTTCAACGAAGCCTTGCTTATTACTTAAAACGATACATAGGTTTTGTCTGGAAGCTCCATGATCGAATGATCCAGCCCCGAGAACACCATCAAAATTATCCTCCTGAGTTAAGAACATTCTCCACCACCTCAAAACGCTACATAATTATTCTTCGAACTAGCTACAATGAGTTTCTTATCACTTTATTGTTGATTCACTAAATACTTAAAATGGTTCTCTCTACCTGTCACTTCTATGCAAAATAATTATCACTCATCACGTATTTCCCTCAGTTATCTAAATTGACGCATGAAACCGTTAGTATTTCAATGGTCGCACCGCTGACAGCAAATATAAGAAATCTTCACATCAAAACCATTATGAAAAACGATTGACGCAACTTAATCTTGAAGCATTTTGTACCTGTCTTTGTCAAAGCGATACACCTTTTCACTGTGCACTTTTCACCCTGCGCACCAATGGATGTTAAACTCTAACATCAGAGCTTTAAAGCAAGATAACTTTCATAAAATACAAGCATATCTTCGTATCTCAACGCTAGTAGTAGATGCGATTATTTAGCTGGTAGTGAAATCCCGAAAATTACTGTCTCAAATACAAGTTGTACAAATCCAGGAAAAGCGTATCATTAGGATAAATAAAGCCCAAGGGGACTTACTGAGATCAATGTGGCCCCGCAAGTTGATATTTCTGATATATGGTGATTGAGAGATAAATGAAAACAAGGGTCAGAAAGAGAATCGCACCATAGGCCTTCAAATTACCGGTCTGGCGCTCCACTAGCTGAGCTAAATACCCAGCTGCTGACCAGGTCTGAACTTCAACAACCATTAAGATGCTTCTCCTCTCTAATTCATCTCAATTCAGATTGTAATTAGAGGTACTGGCTG